GGGCCCCGGGAGGCAGCGGGGGCGGGATGGGGGAGTTCAGGTGGGACTGGGAGCTGGGGTTTGTGTGAGTCGGGCCACCGGGGGTCCCTGTGGGTGGGTGTCGCTGCGGGGTTGGGGATCCCGTGGGTCCGTGTGGAGTGGGGGTTTAGGGCTCCGTGTGGGGCGGGGGTCTGCCCGGGGATCCGTGCGGGTGGGGAGCGGTGCGGAGTTCCAGGCTCAGGGGTGCCGGGAGTCCGTGTAGGTGGGGTTCGGGCCGGGGGTGGGGGTCCCTGCGGATCGGGGGTCACTGTGTGCGGGGACTCGGCCGGGGATCCCGGGGGTCGCCCCGCGGCCCCGGCGCTGCTGACGGCCCGGCTCAGGAGCGGGTGGCGGAGCTGGAGCGGGAGATCGGGGCGGCGGAGGCGGAGATGGCCCGGTGCCTGCGGGAGTACCCGGCACTGCTGCGGCTGCGGATGGCGCTGGAGGCGGAGATCGCCGCGTACCGGTACGCGAGGGGGGCGCGGGGGGCACGGGGGGCCAGGGGCTTAGCCCGGCCCTTCTTTTCCAGGGAGATGCTGGAGAGCGAGGAGCTCCGCCTGGGCGGCTTGGCCCCGCCGTGAGCGGACCCCGGGAGCTCCGCTCCCACCACCGGAGCCCGGCCCTGCCGTTACCACCGGACCCACGGTCCCGGGACCGGATCCTCAGCCCCACCACCGGACCCCGGTTCCTCCGCCGGACCCCAGACCCCCGAGTCCCGCACGCCGGGCCACGGTTCCCCGGGACCCTCTGGATCTCTCTGGACTCACGGAGCCCCGGTCCTTCTGTCCCCCCGTTCCACGGGTCCCCCGGAGTTGTGCGTGCCCGCCTGGCCCGGGACCCCCGGGAGGGCAGCGCCCGTGGGGCACACACTCACCAGCCTCTCCGGGGTGGGGGTCCCGGCCCAGACCCGTGTGGAAGCACCTCAATAAAGCCCCGTGGCATCACCCGGAGCCGGCCCGGCTGCAGGGGGGTGGGCAGCACCCCCGGCTGTGCTCCGGGGGTCTGTGGTGGGGTGGGGGGCTCCGTGGGGAGTGGGCTCAGGGCTGTGGGGACCCTCCACCCCGCCTGTCCCCGGGCTGGGCTGGAGCACGGGTGGAGCCTGTCCCAGCCATGGACAGCAGATGGACCCCAGGGCTGAGTTTTGTGCCAGCCGGGAGCCCCTCGGGGAGCTGTGGGGGCCCAGCACCTCCCTTCCTACAGACACCGAGCAGGTTTTGTGGTGGCAAAACCAATCCCAGAGTTTTAATAGAGGGGAAAATCCTTTTCCGAGCTGTAAAGGGATGGGGGTTCTGGGGAAAGGAGGTGCCCGTTTGTGGGGTCAAAGCCGCTGTTATTGGGGTGCATCGAGGTCCATCCAGGCGCTCCAGGGGCTCCAGGCCGGGGGGGTGTAGGGGTCCCTGCAGCTGATTCGCACCCGCCCCGCTCCCGCCGGCACCGGCGTCTCCTCCGCACCCTCCACGAACTGCTCCACCTGCAAAGGGGGTAGGGCATGGTCTCGGGAGACCCTCGGGGAGGGGGGCACCAGCACCCCCTGACCCCGGCAGCGCTGGGGGGGGAGCAGGGGTGACAGCCAGGGGTGACAATTCATCACCCCAAGAAGGGAAGCAGCAGAGTGAGGAGGGGCCATGGCTGAGCATCTTCCCCGGCACAGGGCAGAGGCAGGGATGGGGCAGGGTGGGCACAGGGCAGGGTGGTGACATGGGGCAGCCTGTGCAGGGTCGCCCTGGGCAGAGACCCCCCCCCGTTACCTGGGTACCGTTGTGGAGCTCGTACTGTAGATGGTAGAGCAGTGCAAAGTAGGACTTGGGGAGCGGCCAGGAGGCCGGGGGGGCCCAGGCCAGGTGGAGCTGCTCCCCCCGCTGCTGCAGGATCAGCTCCTGGGGCGGATCTGGACGCACTGTGGACAGAGGGGGCTCAGAACAGGGGCTGAGACCCTCCCCCCGGAGCCTGCAGCGCCTCTTGGACGCCCCCACCCCGCCGCTCCTGCCCTGAGCTCACCAATGTCGCGCAGGAAGAAGTGCCTGGACAGGTTGAGGTGGGAGGTGTCCGAGAGCCCCTCCAGGTGCAGCTGCAGCGGGCGCAGCTCCTCTCCGAAGGGGCAGAACAGGGGGTCTGCCAGGCTGGTGTTGAAGCGGCCGTGCTCACCGACCACCGGCACCCAGGGCCCCACGGAGCCGTCGCTGCGGGGAGGGAGGCGTGGGCAGCTCTTAGGGCGGGGTGCCCGTGGTGCTGCCGTGAGTTTGGGGGGTCCCGGGGCACCCACCTGCGTACGAGGCGGGCACGGAAGACGGCAGAGGGGGGCCCGGGCCAGGAGCAGTGGAAGGAGCCGTTGTAGGACTCAGCCTGGCAGGACATGTTGATCTCCTCATCACCTGAGGGGTTGAGGGGTGGCTGCTCAGGGGCTGCAGAAAGCCAAGATGGTCCCCCTCCCTGCAAGGGGCTCACAGCCCCCGTGTCCCCGGCTGGGCAGGAGAATCTCCCGGTGCTCAGCCCTCCACCCCCTGCCCCATCACCCCGCAGCCATGCCCCTCCGTACGGGAGCTGCTGAGCACCACGTAGGTGGAGTCCAGCAGGACAGGGCCAGCCCAGCAGCTGTAGTTGCCAGTGGCTGGCAGGTCCAAGCCGAGGATGGTGAGCGTGTGGCCCTCAGGCACCAGTTCGGCCATGGGCTCCTCCTCCCCGTTCAGTGTCCAGTAGATGTGCTGCTCTGAAGTGTCACATCGCACCACCACGTCCTGGCTGAGCTTCCCCACCTGGACTGGAGGTGAGAGCAGAGCCAGTGGTCAGAGATGGGCTGTGGTGGGGGAAGATTGTCCCCCAAACCTCACAACCACCCTGTCCTACGGTGCTCACCCTGCTCCTGCACTCCACATCCTCCCCTCTCCTTCACCCCATCCTTGCTCCACATCACCCTCGTGCCCATCCTCTGGCTCCCAGCAGAGCTGTCCCAGCCTCTATCAGAGGGATGTGGGTTTGGGATGTTCCCCACTCTCTCTGCTTCCTCTGCAGTCCCTGCAGCTGCCCCAGCCAGGTCCCCCCTCCGAGGCCTCCCCTGTGCCCCGGGAGCAGCACTCACACTTCGGGGGAAAGGCAGTCAGGGGTTCTGCAGGCACCACCAACAGCACCAGTGCCACCAGCACCAGCATCTGGGAAGGGAAAGGACAGGGAAGGGCAGCCATAACCCAGGAGAGTGGCACAGCCAGCAGGGCCAGCCAGGGCAGAGCCCTGGGAGCAGCATCCCCGGAGCAAGATCCCCCCGAGACCCCCCCCATCCGTGCCTACCTCTGTGTGTGTCTCTGGTGGGCTTGGCAGAGCCGGGGGCTGCGCTCTTATACTGGGCTGGACTCCATGGGGCTGCCCCAAGGTGCAGTCAGAGCAGCATCACAGTTCTCAGAACTGGAGGATGGGACCCACGCTCAGCCCCCTGCCTCCCACCCACACCACAGCTGGTACTTCCCAGGGCAGGGTGCACTGGACACCCCTGCCCTGCCCTGCCCTGTCCCTGAATGCCAGAGGATGGGTCCCCCTGGGAACACCCAGGCAGTGCTGGGCACCTGGGATGCTGTTGGGGTTTTGGGTGGTCTCAGCTCTCTCAGAGGGGTCCCAAGCCCCTGAGGGTCTGCACATCACTGTGTGCTGCACAGAACCCTCACAGTGCCCTGCTAAGGGGTGGGGGGACCTGTGAGGTCTATCAGCACCTGTGCTGGGGGTCTGGAGAGGGGCAGCTCAGGGCTGGGCCCCTCTGGGTGGGTCAAGGAGAGGGGAGGGTTTCCACAGAGGCTCAGGGTGGTGCCTCCAGGTTGGCACACCCCTTCCCTCCCCTCCTCGGGCCACTGAGTGTCCCATGGGATGCTGTGCAGAGATGAGGACGTAGGGACAGAGATCATCACTGTCACCAGCTGCCCCTTTGGCACCCCACTGATGCCAGCCCGTGTCGAGGGCATGCAGCAGACCCCACCCTGGGGAGGGGACCGCTGTACTCTTTCATGTACTTTCTGGAGTTCCTAGAAAGCAAAGGGGAAGTGGGGCTGTGGGGGAGCCCAGCTCTCACCTTTTGAGGCACTGTGGCCAGGACAGGGCAGTGGGACCTCCAAGGCCCCTCCCTGAGCAGAGCCAAGCCCTTGTGTGTGGGCTGAGGGGTGGGGACGGGGAGCCAAGACTCCCAGGCCCCATGCAGCAGCTCAGCCCTTGGCTGTAGCACTGCAGGGGACCCCAAAAGGACAGGGAGGGAGGGATGGGACGCCTTGCCCGGGGGTGCCCCCATGCCCTGCCCTGTCTGGGGGAAGCAGGCGTTGGCAGCAGGTTCGGGGGCCCGCTCACCCCCACCTCACCAACCGCAGCTTCCCCTTGGCTTCTGCAGAACAACCACAACCACGGAGGGGAAGTCCTGATGCAAAGGCCAGGGATGCCCTCAGAGCCTCAGCATGGCTGGAACCCCAGCCTGGCACCCGAAACATGGGTGGGAGGGGAGTGAGGCCTCACAGACAGAAACCATCCCCGGGAGACGGGAGGGGCAGGGACAGAGCCTGGCCTGTGTGGTGATGTCCCTTGGTGGGATACACCCACCCTGGCCGGACCCCTCTGTGGTGATGTCCCTTGGTGGGATGGACCCCACCCTGGCCAGACCCCTCTATAGTGATATTCCTCAGTGGGATGGACCCCACCCTGACCAGATCCCCTCACTGCAGTCATGGACACGAAGCCAGGAGCAAAGGTCACAAAACTTTATACAGGAGGAGGGACCCGTGCGTGGCCCCTCGGCCCCGGGCGTTGGGGGAGCGGGACAAGTGATGCCTCCAGCCCCGCAGCACCCCCGGGAAAAACGGGGTGAAGGAGCCCAGTGGGGAGGGCCCACAACACTCCCCCGGCCGGGGCCAGCGCTCCCCAATCCACGCTCTGAGGTGCCGGGGTGGTCCCACGGCCGCTGGCCCACGACTGACGGCGGCGCAGCGCTGAGGCAGTGCCAGGCCGTGCCCGCGCCTCCCTGGGACCCGGGACAGCCCCTGCAGCCACACAGCTCCCCTGGGGCCTCCCCGGGGCTCCCCTGTCCCCAGGGTCACGGCCAAGCCCAGGCAGCCCCACCGCGGGGCTCCGCTGCTCCGGCTCACTGCAGGACGCAGACGTCCCCGTGCTCATCCTCGCGTCCGGCCGCCTCCGCCAGCTCCGGCTCTGCCGGCGCCTCCTCTGCTGCCACCACCTTCTCCCGCAGCTCCATCAGCAGGTCCCGGCCCTCGCTGGGTGGCAGGTTGCTCAGGTAGTACTGCGGGGCCAACTCCACCAGCCTGCGAGGACAGGGTGGGATCAGCCAGCTACAGGGACCCCCCTGTAAGGAAGGACCCGTCCCTCCCCGTCCCCTCACATTTGGGGCTGGATCTCCGAGACCACGCGCAGGCAGTTGTCCTGAGAGATGGTGAACTCGTGGTAGAGCACCCAGGGGGGCAGGCGGCGCGGGGGCGGCCGCAGCAGGTACCCGCAGGCCGGGGCCAGGTGAGCCACGTGCTTGTGCGTCAGCATCACGTAGTTCCCGGAGCCGTCGATGTCTCGGGCGACCTGCGAGGAACCAGCAGGGAATGATGTGTCTGGCACACCCCAACATCTCCCCCGTAACTCCCCACAACCCCCTGGCCCACCTTGAGGAAGTAGCCGGAGATGAGGGCCCGCTGGATGTTGAGGGCGTTGGCGTCGGAGCCGAAGGCGGGCGGCGACACCGGGAGCTCGATGCGGCGCATGACCTCCAGCAGCTCGGCGCGCACCGTGCCCGCCAGGCGCAGCGCCTCGGCACACACGCCGTGCTTGCGGCACCAGCCCTCGTCCCCCGCGTCTGCAGGAGGGACAGCGGGGTCAGCGACGGGGGGACAGGGCTGGGATAGTGGGGGCTGTGATGTGGGGACAGGGGTGGGATAGTGGGGGCTGTGATGTGGGGACAGGGGTGGGATAGTGGGGTCAGCGATGCGGGGAAAGGGATGTGACAGTGGGGGCTATGATGTGGGAACAGGGATGGGACAGCGAGGTCAGCGATGTGGGGACAAGGGTGGGATGGGGGGACAGGGGTGGGATAGTGTGGGCTGTGATGTGAGGACAGGGATGGGATAGTGGGGCTGTGATGTGGGGACAGGGGTGGAACAGCGGGGTCAGGAATGTGGTGGACAGGGATGGGATAGTGGGGGCTGTGATGTGGGGACAAGGGTGGGATAGTGGGGATGTGGGGACAGGACAGTGGTGCCATGGGGTGGGGACAGGTGAGCAGAGAGCCCGCTGGGCTGGGGGCTTGGGGAACACAGAAGCACTCCTGTTTCCCCTGTCTGTGACCCTTTCACACAGTGGTGACAGGGACTGAGCACAGGCACAGCCCCCAGGCTAGAGCTGGGACCCCCAGATCCTCCCCCAGCCAGGCTGGGCACTAGGATGGGTCAGGAATGCAGCTCCAGGGCAGGGGACACAAGAGGGGGTGTGGGACAGCAGAAAGAGCAGGGGATACAGGGGACACAAAGGGGTCTGTGGGATGCCCACAGGGGTGCCCTGCCCACACTCACGCTGCTGGAAGGCATTGAAGATGTTGATGAGGGTGAAGTGGTCCCCGTTGGGGTGCAGCAGCGCCCGCCGGCGCAGGGCCACGGCCTCCTCCAGGTGCGTGGACAGGGGCACGAAGCAGGGGGGTGCTGGGGGTGGGCAGGGGGTCACCGTGTGCCCCCAGCACCTCCCTGGCAGTGCTGGCTCCCCATGCCCCCCACAGGGTACCTGTGAGCATGGCAGCCAGGCTGACCATCTCCTCCACGCAGTCGAACTCGCAGGAGGCGATGAGCGCCTTGGCCAGCTGCGGGTCCAGTGGGAACTCCGACATGATGATCCCCACCTCCGACAGATTCCCGTCATCATCCAGGGCTGCCAGGTAGTCCAGGTCCTCCAGCGCCTGCATCAGCGACTCGGGGGCTGGGGTGGGACATCAGGCAGCTTCGCCCACTGTGTCCTGCACCTGCCAGGCCCCCAGTCCCTCCCCAGAGACAACCCAGGCCGCAGCGATGGCCACGGCTGTGCCATCGTGCCCCTCTGCTCCAGCCCCCCACGCCATGCCTGGCCCCCCTGGGCTCTACCTGGGCGGTCGAGGAAGTCACACTGGCCCATGTCGGCGATGTCCAGGCGCTTCAGCAGCAGCACGAGGCGGCTCAGGCTGGTCTCGCCGACGTGGGGCGCGGGGCTGGGGGGCAGGCGCTGCTCAAAGGCCTCCGAGTACAGGCGCAGGCAGGTGCCTGCAGGAGACAGGACATCAGCTGGGACAAGGACAGGCTGCTGGCAGTCCTGAGGGGGGGACACTGGAGCAGGGGCTCACCTGGGGGGCTGCCAGCAGCTCGCTGCATGCGTGACTCGGCCTGGCTCCGGCTGATGGGCCGCAGCACCTGCGACTCGGCGCGGATGCGAGGGTTGTACACCTGCGGGAGGCTCTGAGTGGGACACTGCAAGGGACCCCTGCCTCCCAACAAGGTCCCTCACCTGCCACTGCAGGGCCACCCCTGCCACCTCCCTGGGGCAGAGCCTTCCTCCCAGCCTGGAACATCACAGCTCACTGCACACAGGGCAGAGCCAGACCCCACCCGTGCCCTGTCCCACTCACGCTGCGCAGCTCCAGCCCCGAGTCGATGACGAAGCGCACGGTGCCCAGCGAGAAGGACGAGTCCCCGAGCCAGTGGGTGACAATGACGCGCCGCTCCCGGCTCTCCTCGGGCGTCTCGTAGAGTCTCTGTGCGGCCCGGCCCACCCCGGGGTGCAGAGGCAGCACCAGCAGCGGGCCCAGCGCCGGGCTCAGCGCCACGGCCTCCGTCTGGATGGCAGCGCAGCACTCGGAGATCTCCTGAGCAAGGACAGGAGGGGACAGGTGACACCTGCTGACACCCGCAGTGTCCCCATTCCCAGGTCAGGGTGTTGTGCCACGCCCCGGTGTGGTATTCACGTGCCCTCTGAACAGAGTGGAGTTGTGAGACAAGCAGAGAAGAAGGAAAATACAATTCTTATCTCTCTTGCTGTGCCTGTGTTGTGCCAGAGCAGAAAGCAGATTGGAGATTATTTACTCGAAGTGAGGATGTTTTGTTCCCTTGGCCAAGCGTGTGTGTGAGTCTGGACTGTCACGAGACAGTCACGAGAGAACCAGAGGTGAGTGCAGTTCTGTGCAGCTGTGAGCAAGAGTGAGTGCATGGCACATTCACTTTAGATATAATGCATATAGTACAGAATAATAAAGTAATTCTTTAGACAGAGTCCTCCTCATCATTTCCTCTCCCTCTCAGACATTGGAGTCGCCTTTGATTTACAAACCCCTGTGCCCACCTCCACTACAGAGAAGCCACACTGCCCCGCCATCCCTAGTGCTCCCCACTGAGAGGAGCACCCCAAACCTCCCCTGCCCCGCTCCCCACCAGCCCACCTGCTCGCTGGCCAGGAAGACCAGGACGTGGCCGGGCTCCTGGCGCCGGTGGATGTCCAGCACGGCCTGACAAGCAGCGGCCACGCTCCCGTGGGCCGGCGGCTCCCGGTAGAGCAGCTGCGGCGGGGAGCCGTGCCCGGGCACCCTCACCACGGGCGGGTCGCCGCAGAAGGCGCGCAGCCGCGGCTCCAGGGCGGGCGAGGTGAGCACCACGAGGCGCAGGGCCGGGCGCTGGCGCAGCACGTCCTTGAGCAGCCCCAGCAGCGCGTCCGTGGGCACCGTGCGCTCCTGCGCCTCGTCCAGCACCACCACCCCGTACTGCCGCAGCAGCGGCTCCGACGTCATCTCCCGCAGCAGCATCTCGTCCGAGCAGAACCTGACACGGCCCTGCCCCGTCAGCACCGACCCCTGCCCGGGGGGAACGCCTCGCGCCTCCCCATGCAGCCCCCTCCCCACGCAGCCCCCTCCCCGTGTCCTAGATTGGCAAGCAATGCTTATCTCCTCCTCGTGCTGTCACCACACTGTCACCACGCCACACACCTTCCCTTTCATCTATCCTAGACTGGCAAGCAACATGTAGTCTATTTGTTCCTCGTGCCATGGTGTGCTGTCACCACACTGTGTCACCACACTGTGTCACCACACTGTCACCATGCCACACACCTCCCCTGGCATCTATTCTAGATTGGCAAGCAATGTGTGTTCTATTTGCCACCGCTTAGAGGCGGGGCAGTTATCTTCTGTTAATTAGGCAGTTTTGTTTATCTCTTCCACAACCAATCCTCTCTCCAAGAGATCTCTTCTGTTAATGGGCCACTAATTATTAATTATCTTCTCTTAATGGGCCATTGAGTGTCCCTGTATGGATGGTAAAATTCCATCATCTCACTGGGGGATGCTCTGCCCAGGGGAGGAGCCAAGCATTCCTACCTGGATACAATCTGAGATCCTGGGACCCAGAACAGCCTTTCCCCTGGATTCCCAGAGGATCCACCTTTCTACAGGATCCCTGCTCCAGCAGAACCCCCCCTGACACTCCAGGAGGGCTGCAGCCACAATTCCAACTGGACTGCTGCCACCACTCTGACCAACAGGGTGTCAGGTTGTGTTCTGACTCTGTCGGTGTTATTTTGATTTACTGCATTGTTTATTTTATTTTTATTTTCTTCCCTAGTAAAGAACTGTTATTCCTGCTCCCATATCTTTGCCTGAGAGCCCCTTAATTTCAAATTTATAGCAATTGAGAGAGAGGGGATTTACATTCTCTATTTTCGGGGAGGCTCCTGCCTTCCTTAGCACACACCTGTCTTTCTAAACCGAGACACCCAAGGGCAGCCCATCCCTAGAGGAGATCCCTCCCTACAGCATCCCCCTCCCCAGAACAGCCCCCTCCCCAGAGCAGCCCCCTCTCCTGGGCACCCCCTCTCCTGGGCAGCCCCTCCCCAGGGCAGCCCCTTCCCCACAGCAGTCCCCTCCTTCGAGCATCTCCCTCCCCACAGCAGCTCCCTCCCTAGAGCAGCCCCTTTTCCAGGGCAGCCCCCTCCCCAGAGCATCCCCCTCCTCAGGGCAGCCCCTCCCTAGAGGAGATCCCTCCCTACAGCATCCCCCTCCCCAGAGCAGCCCCCTCCCCACGGCAGCCCCCTCCCTAGAGCATCCCCCTCCCCAGGGCAGGCCGTGCAGTGCCCAGCGAGGCCAGCCTGGATTAAGGGATTAGGCGGAGCTCAGCGGGATTAGCGCTCCCAGCACGGCCCTGCCGTACCTGAGGATGGTGTCGGCGGTGCAGCAGTCCTCCTGGGGCACGCAGTAGCCCACCTCGTGGCCCAGGTTCAGGTCCATCTCGTCGGCCACGCGCAGGGAGAGGCTGAGGGCGGCCAGGCTGTGGGGCTGGGTGCAGGCCACCAGCCCGTGGGCGAACGACATGGACAGGGCGTACTCGGCGCACCACTGAGGGATCTGTGGGGACAGCGAGGCTCCAGGAGTGTCCCCTCCCCGCTGTGCCCCTCCAAAGGGCACCAGGACCCTCCCTGTGGATCTGGCTGCAGGATTTCCAGGGCCAGGGGCTGTCCAGAGGCGCTCAAAGCTCAGGCAGGATGGTTTCTCCCCACTCCTGTCACCTCTGAGCCCCACAGGTGTAACAGGAGCCCCATGGCCCCACACCTGCAGTCTCCTGCTCCAGTGTGGGACACCAGCACCCTGCTCTCACATTAGGGACATGGGACAATGGCCTGGGAAACCCCACAGAGAGACAAGGAAGGGATCACCAGGGAGCAGCTGCTGGCCGAGTGCCCGGCCTGACAGTGTGGGACAGTGCCAAGGCCACGCAAATGTCCCTTTGGCACCAGGGATTTGAATCCTGCTTCCTCCTGTCACCTCTGATCCCCCCAGGAGCACTGCCTGTGCCTCAGTGTCCCCAGGGCCCTGCAGGGACTACAGCAGGGTGCTGCACCCAAAAACACCGGCCCTGGGGCCCGCACAGGAGCTTTGATCCCCAAATCCGGCAGCGCCAGCCCAGCCCAGAAACTCAGCAGCTCACACCCAGGCAGCTGATGTGGCTGAGCACCTCGAGCCCAGGGCCAACACCCCGCCAGCCTGGGGCCACCCAGCCCGGCCCGGCCCTGCAGCTCTGCAATCCCTTCCCCGGTCAAAGTCTGCCAGGTGCTGTCCCCGAGTGTCACCGGCAGCTGGGACCGGCTCCCCGGGCCAGCCCGGCACGGATCCGGAGGGGCCGTTCCCCGCTCCGGTTCGTGCTGGGTTTTTCCCGGAGCCCAGCACATCACGGTGCCCGCCCGTCCCACCGGGCACCCTCTCGGTGTGTGCCACGGCTGGGCTCTGGAGGATCAGCCAGCACAGCCCAGCTGCCCTCGCCCTCACCTGCGTGCTCTTGCCGGTGCCGGGGGGCCCGGAGACCAGCACGATGCCGCCGCTGCTGCTCTCCAGGTGCTCCATGAAGCTGTACTTGGCGGCCCAGACCGGCAGCTCCCGGCGCTGCCGCAGCAGCTCGTAGTACCGGGAGGAGAAGGGCAGCCCGTCGTAGGGGTTCACCTCCAGGTCGCCGTCGCAGCCCAGGGACGGCTCTTCATCCTCCTCCTCCTCCTCCTCCTCCTCCTCCAGCGCCGAGCCGGGGCCGCTCGGCCCGGGCAGGGGACCCGGGGCTCCGGAGCCGGCCATGGCGGGGACAGCGGAGCTGCGAGGGCGGGCGGGGGTGGAGCGAGACCGGCGCTGACCCACCCCCGGCTACGTCCCGGTTAGGAGCCCGGTGCAGCCCAGTGCCACGTCCCGTCCGCGGGGAGGGGGACCCGCGGACACCGGGGACGGGCGGGGGAGGCGGGTACGGGGGCACGGACAGGGGTGGCACGGCCGCGGAGATCAGGAACCGAAGCGGAGTGTGGGGGACCGGGAGAACGGGCAGGGAACCGGGAAAGGGGCACCGGGAGAGCCCCGCAGGATGGAGCGGAGCGCGGAGACCGGACAGGGCTGTGCGTGGGGACCGCACCGAGGCAGGCTACAGGGGTTGCGGGACAGGGCGGACACCTTGGGAAGGTCGGTCCCGAACGGCACGGGCCGGACCGGGTCGGCGGAGCACCTGTACGGGACGGGACGGACCGGGCACCTGAGCACCGGCACCGGGCCGGACCTCAGCGGAGCGCAGCGGGCGGGTCGGGGGCGTGTCAGGGGCGGGTCCCCCGCACCCCCTCCGGGCCGCGGCCCCGGTTCCTGCCCCGGTTCCGGTTCCGGTTCCGCCGCTCACCTGCGCGCGCCACCGCGGGCCCTGCCGGGGGACGCGGCCACGTGACCCGCGTGCCGTCACGCGCCCGGCCCGCGGCAGCCAATCAGCGCCCGCGCCGGGCGGGGCCCGGATGTGGCGGCGGGACGGGAGCGGCGGCGCCCGCCGGGAGCCCCGGGCCCGCTCCGGCCCCGGCACCGCGCCCAGCTCCGGTGTGCGCCTCCGAGCGGCTGCAGCTGCGGCCCGAGCCCGCCCGCAGCCCCTATTCGGACCGGGCTTCCCGGTACCGGACGTCTCGGTGCTGGTGCGGGGCATCCCGGTGCGGCACCGGGCGTACCGTAGCCGGGCATCTTGTACCGGCGTATCCCGTAGCAATGCCGGGTATTTCCATGCAGGACATCTTATACTGCTGCCGGTGGTACCGGAGCCGGGCATCCCGTACCGGTGTCGGTCCTTCCGTACCGGAGCATCCCGTACCGGTGCCGGTCATACTGGTGCTGGCCTACCGCCGCCGGAGCGGGGCATCCGTACCAGCACGGGGTGTATCGGTGCCGGGCATCCCGACACGGGACATCCCGTACCGGCGCCTCGCACCCGCAGCGGCTCCCGGTGGGACCGGCAGGTGGAGCTCCGGGACCGGCGAACGGCCCGGCCTGAGCTCCCGCCGGCACCGCGCAGCGGGCAGCGCCGGCTGGGGACCGAGCGGTGCCTGCTGGCCCCGGGGCTGCGGGAACCGGTAACCTCGGAGGCTGCGGGGAGTGCCGCGCCTGCGATCCCGCTCTCCGGGAGCCCCGGTGCCGGTGCCACGCCGGTGCCCGTGCCACGCCGGTGCCCGTGCCACATTTCCTTCTGCTCCCCCCCGGTGCTGCGGGCGGGGGTCTGGCGGCACGTCCCGGCTTTGCCGTGCGGGGCAGCGGCTCCGGTGGCTGCTCCCGCTCCTGCGTGTCCCGCCCTCGCCCCTCGGTGACACCGGAGTGTGATCCCGGACCCACCCGGTGTCCCGTCCCAGCTCTGCTCGGGGGGGTCTGTCCTGGCTGGGGTGACCCGGGGGGCTGCAGCCGGGGGTGACCCCCGAGCTCAGGTGGCCGGGGGGGTTTGGGGACACGCCAGGAGGGTGGGGACACAGGGAGGAGCCGAGTGCTGGCTCCGAGGGGCTGATGGACAGAGCCGTGCCGGTCTGGGGGCGCAGAGCAGGACTGGGGGGCTCACAGCGTCCCAGGGCAGCGTGGCCGGGAGGGGTGAGGGTCTGGCCGAGCCCCCGTCCCTGTGCAGGAGCAGAGAGCAGGAGGGAGCAATGGCCGGGACTGTGTGCGTGCTCCACGCGCTCTCCTGGAGCTGCGGGAGCCGAGGGATGGACAGGGATGGAAACACGGACAAGGCAGAGCCAGGCGCTGTTGTGTTTGTGCTGAATGATGAGTCCGACTCCGTGTTCTCAGAAATTTAATTTATTACTTTATTATACTACATTATATTAAATAATACTATACTAAAGAACACAGAAAGGATACTTACAGAAGGCTGAAAAGATAATAATGAAAACTCGTGACTCTCTCCAGAGTCTGACACAGCTTGGCCCTGCTTGGCCAAAGAGTGAAAACAACTCACAGCAGAATGCAGTGAAACAATCACCTGTGGGTGAACAATCTCCAAACACATTCCACATCAGCACAACAAAAGAGAAGCACATGAAATAAGAATTGTTTTCCTTTTCTCTGAGTCTTCTCAGCTTCCCAGGAGAAAAACCCTGGGCGAAGGGAATTTTCGGAGAATGTGAATGCCACAAGGCAGGATGGCAGGAACCTTGTGCCAGCAAGGATCCTCAGGGCTGGCACAGGCCCACGGCTCCTTGTGCGTGGTGTGGCTGAGCACTCTGTGCTCTCGGTCACTCAAAGGTGTCACCACGACCCCCTCCAGTGACCACACAGTGACCCCCTGAGCCCAGCCCCTTGGCTGGGTGGTGTGGGGGTCTCAGGGCTCCATCCCCACCCCGCTGCCCGCGTCAGGACAGGGTGCTGGGGTGAGACCCCCACGCTCAGAATGCATTGAGGAAGCGAGGATTTCACAAGCCGGGGGGTACACGTGACACGGGGAGCGTGGCAGGAGGAACCTCCCGTGGCTCTGCAGCGCCCCAGACCCCGGCACGGCCCCGGTGGTGGCCCGGTGGTGTCCCGGTGGCCATGGCGCCCTGGCTGCCCACCAAGGAGAAGTTTGGCGTGGGTGAGTGGGGCTGTGGGGCCCCGTTGGGGGTTTCCACTCGGCTGGAGGGGCGCAGGGCTGGCAGAATGGGGTGCTGAGGGTGAGGTGACATTCGTGGCACCCCCGTGGCCGTGGTGGTGGCACCTGTGGTGCCAGTGTGAGGAGGGGACCAGGTCCCTGCGGTGCTGGCGCTGGCTGGGCGCTGCAATGAACAAGCAGGGGCTGCAGGGCTGGTGACAGAAGGCTCAGGGAAGGGGACCAAGCAGGACAGGTGCCAGCAGGACCCACGCACCAGGAGGCTGCGGGGCTGGTGCTGTGGGTGTGGGGGGCACTGGGCTGGGGGCTTGGCTTCCCTCCAGGCTCTGGCTCTGGGCTCAGCCCGGCTGCTGAGGCTCTGGGGAGCCTTGAGACACCCCAAGGACTTTCCTCAGCTTCCAGCTGGGGCTTTGCAGCTGCCTCCGTGTTGGTGATGGCAAAGCCCTGGGCACCCCCATTCCTTGCAGCACCCCCAGCTTAGGCTCCCCATGCCCTGCGCCAGCCCTGAGCACCCCCACTCACTGCAGCACCCCCAGCTTCTGCTGGCTCCGGCAGCCCTGTTCTTCTTCCCGTTTTTTGTGGGGCCGTTTCCTCCACCCTTCCTACACTCTGTGCAGTGCCTGAGCAAGGGCTGAGCTGCTGCAGGGTCCTGGGGGTGCCTGAGCGAGGGCTGAGCTGCTGCTGCTTCTCCCAGCATGGGCAGTCAGGGTGATGGGAGGGGTCCCATGGGGGCTCCCGGTGCCAGGTGGGTCTGGGGGTGCTGCAGTGTGAGCTGGCCCTGCCTGGAGCTCGGGTGGGCACAGGCATGGTCCTGGCAGGGACCCCCGGGTGCAGGGACTGTCCCCCAGGCTGGGGGCTAAACCAGGGCTGCCTGCCCCAGAGCTGTCCCTGGGGCCAGAAATAGCGACAGGGACAACCACAGCGCAGCCGGGCAGGAAGCCGCTGGTCACCGAGAGCACCGCCCCCTCCCCTGCCACCAGCTCTGCTGTCCCCAGACAGACCTGTCCCTGGGCCACCAGGCCTGTCCCTGGGCCACCAGACCTGGGCAGGGGCTCAGCTGGCACTTGCCTTCCTGCACTGTTTGTGCCATGAGCAGGACCACCGGCACCCAGGGCGTGGGTGGAGGCAGAGGGGTCCCATAAGGGACCCCTGAGTGCCAAAAGGGGCTGGGGGCTGCTGCTGTGCCCAGCCCTGTGTGGGGTTGGAGGGCTTGGGGGGGTCTCACGCTGTTTGTGGGGCTGGGGCTCTGCCCCATCTCTCAGGGCTGAACGGGGGGTGCTGGGGGGGTCACCCATGGGGGGCCGGCTGTGGGGTGCAGCTACCCAGGGCCTGGGGGCTGGCGAGGGTCTCCAGGCAGGGCTCCCAACTCGCAGCCCCTCTTCCCACAGCCGTGTGGAACTTCCCGCGCACCAAGGAGCATCACCTCCCGCTGCAGATCGGGGAGATGGTGCACATCCTGCAGGCCTCCGAGGGTAAGGGACCCCCGGAGGCACCCTCCTTTGTCCCTGGGCGGGGGCCAGCACCCCCAGCCTGGCTGACCATGTCCCCTCCCCTGGCAGGCTGGTACTGCGGCTACTCGCTCCGGAACAGGGCTGCCCGGGTAGGTGACGGGCTGCTGGGCTTTGGTGGCAGGAGGGACAGTGCTGGTGGCTTTTCTGTCCCTGCTGGGTGTCTGGGAGAGGGGCAGAGGGAGCATGGGCAGCAGGGGTTGGGGGGGGGGGGGGGGGCACGGCAGGCTGGGCACCCTGTGGCATTGGGTGCCACCAGCTGTGCCCCCCTGAGGGACATCTTTGACAGCTCTGGCTCTCTCAGGGCATCTTCCCGGCCTCGCTGATCCGGCTGAAGGGCGCGGCGGTGGAGCAGAGGGGGTAGGTCCGGCGCACGGGCGGGGGCGGTGGGCTCCGCCTTCCGCCCCCTGCGGGGTCCCTGCGGTGCCGGGGCGCTGCAGGGCTCCCTGTGCCTCCCCCAGGGTGGAGGAGAGCGTGGTGCCCTCCGACATGCCCATGGTGCAGGAGATCACCACCACGCTGCGGGAGTGGGCCACCATCTGGAAGCAGCTCTACGTGGTGAGGGTCTGGCTCTGGGGGGGGGTCCGGGGGCAGGGTGGGTGAGCCCCGGTGACCCCGCGGTGCTGCCGCAGGCCGGGCAGACGGAGCGCTACGGGCAGGTGAAGAGGATGATGCAGGAGCTGATGGAGCAGCGCTCGCAGCTGCTCTCGGGGACGCTGCCCAAGGACCAGCTCCTGCGGCTCCGCAAGGAGGTCACCGGCAAGATGGACTACGGCAACAAGTGAGGGCGGGGACGGGCCACGGGGACCTCAAATCTGCCTCTGGCACAGGCTCTGTGGTGCCCAGGTGTCCTGGCTGGCTGTCCCTGTGTCCCCATCATCCCAGCTGGCTGTCCCGTGCTGGCTGGGGACAGTAAGGGTGCCACCAGCTGCTCAAGCCACCTGGCTAAGGGCTATGGCTGGGACAGGAATGTTCCTGGTGCTGCCAGCTCCTGTCCCCTCAGACCCTGCGCAAGGACGAGTGAGTCCTGGTGGCACACACAGCCCCGTGTGGCCCCAGTCCTGCCTGACCCCATCCCGGCCCCTGCAGGATCCTCGCGCTGGACCTGGTGGTGCGGGATGAGGACGAGAACATCCTGGACCCCGACAGGACCAGCGTCATCAGCCTCTTCCAGGCTCACAGGAGGGCAGCACAGACCCTCACCCAGCGCATCCAGGAGGAGACGGTGAGGCTGCTGCCAGCCCTGTGCCCAGAGCCTGATGTCCCCTGTGCCGGGGGATGTGTCAGGGGCTGAGCCACCTTGTGTCCCCCACCTCGTGCTCCCCAGAGCTCG